ATATGAAAAATACTTGAAAGAGCTTCATGATGCCACTTGTAAGTCTATCCATAGGCCTGTAGTCTCGCTAGCCAGACCATTCCCCTGTAGGCTGGGGAATGGCCTGGCTAGCGAGACTAATAGACCTGTGGTCTATTAACTAATATAACTCTTAGTTTCATTGTCCCACTACTATCAATGGGTGAACATCATTTTGGGTATCTATCCATTAACAAAAAATAGTGTATTAGGGGTGGATATAGCCTGCGCAGTTTCTCGCTTTTCTGTCTCCTCCTCTTTTGTCCTCCTATGGCTATGACATGTATGTAAAAAAAGATTCTATTTTTTTAGATACACCACCATCTACTGAAGCAATTTCTGTTCTTCAATTGAATATTCAATCATTGAATGAATCTCTTGTCTCTCCTGTACAAGTGTCTCAACTGTTATACTGTAAGAGATGTATAAGTGAAGCTACTCTGGATGAAATGGAGAGGATGGATCAGAGCAGGTCACTGGATGACAAGAAGACCACTCTATTGACTGCCATACAAGAAACAGTGTCTAGTGACCACAGGAAATTTAAGGACATTGCTATGGTGCTGTCTGATGTTAAAGAAACAAGAGATATAGCCAATAAAATGATGACCGAATATGGTATGAATATTGTATGTTACTATAATACCTGTCTATGAATATGATTTTATATAGAACAGGAAATTCCTGAAGACGATGATAGCACATCAGTAGTACAACCACAGGAAGTAGAAATTGGTAACGAAGATTATGCTAGTGATATATTGAGGAATAATTACAGTGCTCTCTCTCAGTCAATAACTGAACCAGTTCGTATGGCAAGGTTGCTTCATGAAGAGGTTATATCTGATGAGGCTCTGTCTTGTGTCATGTCTACCAGAGGTTCTGTCTCTGACAGTAGAGCAGTTCTCCTCAAAGCTGTACGAGATGCTGTTCACTCCAATTACAAACACCTGGAGTTGTTTGTTACTGTATTGAGGAAGTTCTCAAAAGTTACTCATATTGGTGATGCTATCTTTGAAGAATACAGTAAGTTTGCTTATTAAAATTATTATGACACATGAACAGCACACACTCATAATTATGACATCATCCTTTGATGTGGTCAGGTTTATATTTTTGTATATATACCTGCCATACTAGAACTGGTCAATATACAAAAGATATAGACCTTTGGTGGGTATCCAAGGATGTGATATGATATAGCCCAAGGGTGCAGGCCTGAGGGCTATATTACATCCTTGGACACCCACCTCAGGTCTATATTTTTGTATATAGTCCTGTTTAGTATGATATATAATACACATATATATTTATGTAGAGGCGTTGTTTCCTGAAGGAGACATAGTGTCTGAACTCCACTGTCATCATCATCTTAACCAATCACATTCTGAAGGTATAGTGCTTAGGTTATAATTTTTGTCTATGAATAATTTTTAGAAGAGACTTCATCAGCATCTTCAGTGTCAGTTGGAGGTCAGTTTAGTTTTTTGTTATGCAAGCTACATGTGGTTTTTGTAGCTGTTTAGAATTAATACAGTATAGTTTTTTTCCATTTATTGTGAGCTTTTTATTTTGTATTGTCCACAAAAATTAAACAAATAAATTAATCTGCTATACAATATTGTGTATTGTTTTATTAGGGCCAGTGTATTTTCCTTCAAATATGGATCCAGAGTTTAGCTCACTGAGGTGTAAATTTGGTTCAGCATTTTATGCAGCAAGATGTGCAATTGAAAAAAAGAACATAGATCCACTCCAAATGAGGATGTTACTTAGTGATTGTTTTCCACATAAACCTGAGTTTGCCAACAAATCTTTAAAAAATACTCATGATATTGTTGACATAGTAAAAAGGAACTGTAATCTCATTGATATTAATTGTCTTGAGGTTTTAGTGATGCACTTTGATGTGTCAGAAGCTGTAGACCCTCTTGAAGCATACAAGGCTGAAGTACAAGAGTTTTGTAAGGTACTACGAGATGAGCTTAATGAATCGCTGGAAGTTGTGAGGAGTCCAAGATCTCTTTCTCGAGAGACCATTGTATTGGTTCTTGATCAAACCCCTCTTACCTGCACTGTGGGTGATGTTAAAGATGTAGTGCGAAAAGCCTCAGGAGCTCACATTGAAGATGTTCGTATTATGAACATCAGTGATTCACACTCCATTGCTATTACTTGCTTTGTTCCTATGAGTTTGACAGGATATGTCATTACTACTGTTCTCCAAAATATAAAAGATTTTCAATCAAAAGGGCTGAGAGAATTAATATTGAATGACACAATAATTTGGGTGAGATATAGTTTATGTTGTTGCATTTACTTAATTTAAAATAATACTTAGAAAATCAACGATCACAGACAAGAAGCTAGTACTGAAACTGATGCCACAAGTACAATATTTTATTATTTTTACTGAGTAATACCTATATAATTTCAGTTGAAAGCAGGGAGCTACTTGATTCACAGTTGGTTTTCCAAAACATTGAAATAGAAGGTACATAAGTCTTGTCTCATGCTCTGCCCCTTTTAGACGGCAATAGGGTATAAGACTATAAAAGTATAGCACTAGTTTTCGGCAACAAAAAAATTTTATTAAGATCCTTTTTTAAATTGATCACTTTTTACATTTGTTTATCATTTGCATACAATTTAATTTAGAATTATACCACCATCCTGATAAAATTGATAAAATTTTTAACAAAAAAATGTGATGTATAAGTCACATCATTATTTATTTTTTATAGAAGAAAATCGACTAATTGACGACAAATCAATAGGTATAATTGATATATTTAGGTAACTTCTAATTTACTGTTTAGATTCTATTGAAAAATTGAAAGAGCAGCTACAAGCTCATCTTAAAATTAAGAAAATGATGGGATTTGAAATAGAGCGTTTAAAAACCAGTAAGTTTGTTATGTAATGTCATCAATTTACTAAAATACAACTGATACTGAGAAAGAGTTAGCATCATTGAAGGAGCTATCAGATAATAGACTAAAAGAAATAGAACAATTAAAACTGAAGCTTGAAGATAGTAACAGTATGTATCATTAAATTCAATAATAATTTTTTAATCACTTTATGAAAAATTAGAGTTACAAGTTGAAGAGATATCAGAGACATTTAAGGATGAACTATCTGATAGTGACACATTAAGTATATGAATGAATGAGTGTATTATGTGTTACCTAATGCATGTTAGAAACTTTATGTATGAAATAGTATTTTTCAATTTGTGATTGTTTCTTTACTATTAGCACAAGAGGCTGGAGATGTGAAATGGAGTCATAAGCAGCACCGTGTACATCTCACTAAAGCATCAGTAGATGAATGTAAGGACGTAATTAGTCAGCTGAATGAGGAACATCGTTACATTGTACTCAGAGATTTGTCATCTGACAGTATACGGTATCTAATGCCAAATATATTGAAAGGAAATAAAATACAAAACTGTACAATATACTCATTCTTAGCACGTGATGATATCCTCTCATTTTCTCCTCAACTATCAACGAATGAATCGTTAACAAGTCTACAAATATCTCATAGTTCAATCAATGACGATGGAGTTGTTGCATTAGTGCAACCACTAAAATGTAATAAAAATCTTCAATACTTATATCTTTATTACAATCCTGATATTACTTCTGCCTGCACTAAATCACTTGCTGAACTTTTACTCACTAACAGCTCACTCATTCAACTTCATCTTCACCGCACTGGTATTGATATGGATGGAGTAACGACACTGATACAAACTCTCAAGACCAATAATACACTAAAGGAACTCTGGCTGGATAAAAAACATAAAAAAAATTTTACCTCAGGTTATGATGAAAAAAGAATAAAATTTGTGAAACAATAATTATTTGATTTTTTCTAAATTTTAATTGGTTTTTTGCAAAGAATATTATTCTTTTTATAGTTTCACTAGATTGTGTATTTATTACCTATTATAGTATATAAAAAGTATGCATTAGATACTTGGGAAGGGAAAGATCAATTGTGGCATGCATACCAATCACACTGCATGTGAAATTATTTCCTGACTCTAGGGCCCAGTGGTTCTGGAGCTTGTCATGGTCTACTGAGTAATATAAATAGTATAGATCTATTTATATACACAACCAAAAGTAATCATGTCTGAATCAGCAATATTGCCCAAAATGAACAAATCAAATCTGATATCAGTACTGTTACAGTCCTGACAAGTATCATTGCTGATCATGCCCGATGCTCTGGCCTGAACCAGTGCAAGACCTTTTCATGATTGTGTCGCAACTAATTTCATGACTGTATCGTGACTGATTGCCCAAAATACATGATCCAGTACTGATTTCACAACTGATTCAGGCTCCAAACTTTTGGTTGTGTACTCAATGCAATGTTTGAAAATATGTGATGCACTGTTGTTCCTACTTCTGTTATTTTTTAGTGTGTGCATACAGTTCACTTGCATGACAACATACTTCAAGAGGGACAGAGCTCTGAGGTTTATTTTTAAAAAGAGACACCAGTGGTCACTATAAAAATGGCAGGGAAAATTTTCAAGTTTCACTAAACAGCAGTTTTAGGTTCAGTGTTCATTACAACCCAAGGAATGATGACTTGAACACTGCTAGAGATGGCTATGAGTTTGAGAGTGTTGCTGGCATAATGAAAGCAGTTCCCTTACCCAGAGTAGTGTATGTTAATAAGCACTGCACTGCTAGCCTAGGGAAAGAAGGTGGTGAAGAAAACATTGAAGTTGGGACATTGTTGTTAATTCAAGGAGTAGAGAAAGTTAAAAGTCGCTTTGGGAAAGTCAACATGCTTAAGTGTGTTAAAATAACAGATGACACAAGGGAGCTTTATCTTGCTGAAAGCTGTAAAGGACAATTCACTACACAGGAATCATTAATACGCTTTCCTCTTACAGCCCTTTTGAAATATTTTGAAGCACCAATCACTACAACAATATATCATGGGAAAGGAAATTCACTTCATTCTCGTTGTAAAAACAAAATTATAGTGATAGAAAGCAAGAGCATAACAATGTCGACATCAATCATTGTGTCACTTGGCTCTACTTCTGCTACGATTCAACAGCAGCATAAACCACTTGGGAAGCTGCTTGAAATACATACCAATATTTCTCTGGGTTTTTACATTAGTAGTTGCAATGGAAAAGAGACGGAAGACCTTAAACAAAAAGCAGTTTCTTTGTCACAGTCACTCTCTCCAGAACAAGTGACAGTCTTGTATACATTAGGATTGGAGGATTCATTGCAAAGGGACCTGCTATCACCAGTCAACAACAAAGAGTGGCTTCATGAGATCCAGACACTCAGTGAAACAATATATGACTCTGCTCCAGTGGTGATGCCTAAAGCTACAAAGAAGGCAGCAGTCTCTTCTCTTCCTAAACCTCAGCTTTTCTTGGCCAGTCATGATCCTAAAATGAATTGTTTTCTGTCTGAAGTGACCGAGAAGAAAGTCGAAAGCTATACCCATTCACATAGTGATGCATTTAGCAGTCAATCGTCTCATCAGAAGTTAACAATAGCAGTACAGGATAATTCTGCGTATGGAATGGTTGTACCAAAAGGATTTCACATTAAGTCTTCGGGTAAAAAGCACTATTATCATGGTTGCATACTTTTATGACACTTTATTTCATTTTATGTAGAAAAGCCCAAACTTTCAGTGGTAACATCAAGCACTTCAATCAATCCAAGCACCATTGTTACGTCTACCAAGTCTCCTGAAAGTTTCCCTGAAAAACCCCGTATGTTACAGAATATAATAATACTAATGTTATGTATTATTATCTTTATTGTAGGATCCAAAACCTTTCTTGATTTCAATAGAAGCACATTGGCTAGCTATGATATAAAAAAGGTTAGAGGCATCAAAGCATTGTTTAATATAGTGTGATAACAATATACAGGTAGTAGATTTACTGGTAAAGATGAGGTTGGAACAATATGCTGAGACATTTCAGAGGGAGCAAATTGATGGTAAGATACTGCTTGAATTAGATGAAAGTGTACTTAAGGAAGAGCTGGGAATGACTAAGAGGATACATCGTTTAAAACTATTGAACATTATTAATGGTGATCAATGTATTTCATTTTATCTTAAATAGATTGTTTTAACTTTGTGCAAGCATGCAGTTAACTTATTATTATTTTCACTTAATAGACTTTTTTCCTTTTGAGACTAACTAATGCTATTTTTAGTACTCATTAGATCTATATTACTATTCAGAGGTGCATTTAATCTACTGTTACAGTAGTTTCACTGGCCAGACCATTCATTCCCCAGCCTACAGTCATTGGGGAATGACTGTAAGCTGGGGAATGCCACCATCTGGCCAGCGAGACTAGGCTTACTTTTAGAGGATGTCAATCCGTGTAAAATTTCTACAATACTTCAATTTGTATCTTAAACAAAGTGATTCCAAATCTTGAACTAGCAAACTAAGCAAAAAATGAAAATAAAATTGCGAGAAACATGTTTTGCCATAATGTTGACATAGATAAAATCTAGAGTAAAATGATGCAATTATGATGCTATAGATAATTATACTACATTTCATTTACTCTAATATCTATGATGATGCTGATCAGGAGTCAGGAACGCCCACCACAAATATTTAGGGTGTGGCCGCCAAGCAAAATATCATGTCTGGACACAAAGAAAAGTCTTTCGTCGCATTCTTGTCTTCTGCTCCTATTCTCCCTGAGCTATTAGAGCACATTGATGTTGGTACTAAGTGGTACTTTTTGGGTACACTGCTACACGTTGATGATAAAAGATTGGATGGTATTGAGCAGTTACAAGGACATGATGATACAAGCAAGACATTAAAGATGTTTCAACACTGGCTCACCACTACTCCTACTGCTAGTAGGAGACAAGTTCTGGAAGCGTTGAGAAAGAGAGTCATTAGTGAGCATGCAGTTGCTGATAAATATGAAAAATACTTGAAAGAGCTTCATGATGCCACTTGTAAGTCTATCCATAGGCCTGTAGTCTCGCTAGCCAGACCATTCCCCTGTAGGCTGGGGAATGGCCTGGCTAGCGAGACTAATAGACCTGTGGTCTATTAACTAATATAACTCTTAGTTTCATTGTCCCACTACTATCAATGGGTGAACATCATTTTGGGTATCTATCCATTAACAAAAAATAGTGTATTAGGGGTGGATATAGCCTGCGCAGTTTCTCGCTTTTCTGTCTCCTCCTCTTTTGTCCTCCTATGGCTATGACATGTATGTAAAAAAAGATTCTATTTTTTTAGATACACCACCATCTACTGAAGCAATTTCTGTTCTTCAATTGAATATTCAATCATTGAATGAATCTCTTGTCTCTCCTGTACAAGTGTCTCAACTGTTATACTGTAAGAGATGTATAAGTGAAGCTACTCTGGATG